AACTGACCTCACAGGTAACAAATAAACTATTAAACTAAAAAACAGCTTAACTCGCTCACTGACTCACTGATTCGCTCACTGATTAACTCACTGATTCGCTCACTGACTCACTGATTCACTCTCGATAACTTGAATTGTGATTTTTATTGTTTTCAGACTTTAACAACTTGCTGCAGCTGGTTCAACCCTCAATTACACCACAACAACAACAACAACAACAACAACAACAACCACAATCACAACCACAAGGACAACCACAAGCCCCCCAGCAGCACGTCCCTCCTCCTCCTGCAGTGGTCTCTGCTGGACCAGACCAGGACCATGCGCCATCCCAGTCCACCTCACCATCTGCATTCTCCACTCAGGGACCAGGTTCCAGTCTCCAGGCTGAGGTCCCGGAGCAGGAGGGGACCACAGAGGATCCAGAGGTCCCGGTGGGGGGGTCTTCGAAACCAGAGCAGCAGGAGGGGTCCAGAGAGGACCCGGACCAGGAGAGTCTGACCTCCCTCCTGAATGAGATTGTCTTCCTCAACCAGCAAACGGCGCTTCAGTTACCGGGGCAACCACCCTCTGAGGCAGGACTACCAGAGGAGGGGCCACCGGAGGCGGGGCCAGGCCAGAGCCCATGGCTCCTGCAGCTTGACTCGGACTCTGATGACACTGTTAACACAGAGACAGTGGAGTCAGGGCCGCAGCCCCGACCTGCTTATGGAGGCTCTACAGCTGGCGTCCTGGCTCCGCCCCCTCTGCTGCAGATGAAGGTGGGCAGGTCTACGGTGGCGGCCCCCACCAGAAGTGCCAGCCCAGCAGTGGAGGGAGGAGGAAGAGGAGGAAGAGCGGGGAGAAGAGAGGGGGGCGTGACCTGGAGGCCGATGCCTAGGCTGGTCCCTCTGGGGCTGCGAGGGAACCCGCCCTGCTGACATCACGCCACCTCGCTAATGATGTCACAGATGTTCTGTTCCTGAACTAATCAGAGGCCTTGCTGTTGTTATGGCGATCAGAGATTCTGGTTCACTACAGCGTTTATTTATGGACTGCTCCGTCCAGTGCAACCAGCAGGTTGCCATGGAAACCGTCTCACAGAAAGATTGTTGAAGGGATTAGTTTTCAGTCGTTGATGTATTGATCGATTGATTGTCTTTGATATCCAAAGATCTGTGTGTGTGTTTGTATTTGTTTATCGGCCATCAGGAGCTCTGATAACAGTAAAGTGAAAATATTTTGAGAAAAAACTTTAAATTATCACAATATTCTGGTCTTGTCGCCATGGTGACAGCAGGGTCCCGTTACCATAGAAACCGGAAAGGGTCTCTGAGAGGATTTTCGTTAAAATCATAAAGAAGTTTGTAATTCTAGGATGAAATATTGTGTCTGAGGTTTGAACTCTGCTGGATAAAGTTTTATTTACTAAAGTTCAGTTTAAACAGCAGTTTGTGTCTCACCTGGCCTCACCTGGACTCACCTGGACTCACCTGTAACCTGCAGTGTTCCAAACAGGAAGTTGAGTTGGATGTTTGTACAGTGTACAGTCGTTCTGCTTTTTCCTAAATTTGTATTTTTGTATTTGTTAATGTAAATAAATGTTGTCTGAAGAAGCCGTGAAGTATAAAACTAATATGAATAAAGTTTGAAAATTAAACAATGTTTACTTTTTATTGTTTAATTTACTAACTTACTTAACAGCTCCTGAATGCATCACAACAACAACAAAAATATCATTAATTTATTAACTAAAGTATAAAATCAAAGAAAAGCTGTACAGTGAGAAGCTTTGTACGTTCACTGTAGCTCTGTACCCTGACTGTAGCGCGTAGGGTCAGATGGCGTCAATGAAACCGGAAGTGATGAGACTTTACCGTCACACTAAAAGCATGGAAAAAACTATGATGTACAAATACTACACTGTATAAATACACTGTATAAATACTACACTGTACAAATACTACACTGTACAAATACTACACTGTATAAATACACTACAGCACGAGTACTGACAGGAACTAGGAAAAGAGATCACATCTCTCCTGTACTAACTTCTCTGCATTGGCTCCCTGTAAAATTTAGAACTTAATAGAATAGAATTTAAAATCCTCCTCCTCACCTGATAAAGCTCTTCATGGTCAGGCCCCTTCTTATCTGAAGAGTCATAGTAGCCTATTACCCCTCTAGAACACTACGTTCTCATGAATGCAGGGCTACTTGTGGTTCTATAGTTCTAAAAGTAGACAGGAGGCCAGAGCCCTTCCAGTTACCTTTAATGCTCCCTCTCACTGGCTAGGATCAGCTGTCTCAGTTGTTGGTTCGGGCAGACATCCATCTCCACATTTAAGAGTAGGCTTTAAGACATTTCTCTTTGAGGGTGAACGCTTAATAGTTAGGACCGCTTGGATCAGTGTGAGTCCTGACATCTCTTAGTTATGTCTGCTATAGGCCTAGACCTATCGTGAGTATTGAGGGGCATGAAAATCAGATCG